ATTTAAGCTACTGCTCGTTCACTACGCTGACCTCCCTGAGAAGAACGAGCAAGAAACTCTAGGGATTGCTCTTTTCAAATAAACTTAAATGCTATGGAATACACTTTGAATCAAATTTGTGTGGATTCTGGAGCCATGTCGTCTTTCCATACATCTTTATCTAACACGTAGTCTTCAATTTTGTAATATGATTTTTCGATCAAAATATTTTTAATGTAGTTTTTAAACTTAGGAAATGATAATATATGCTCCGGAATCTTATTGTAAAAACGTATACAGTTCCCCATAAAAGAGTTGTTTACCTTGGTTAAACGAAATCGTGGTACCATGAGTTTGGACTTAGCTCTAAGGTTAATATTATGGATATCTTCTTTCTTATTGAAATTATGTATATTTTTACGGGCATATAAAATATTTGAGTAAATGTACTGTGATGCCGCAGTCATGATACCAGCCTCCTTAAACTTTTCTCTGAGAGAAATCCGAGAGCCTAGACGGTACACAAAACGAATCGCTCGTTTTTGCAATACAAATATGGTTTAATATCTGCCGCTTTACCCCACATGAGAATCCCGTAGGACATTATACTGTGGAAGTAACTAAAGTAAACTAGTCTAGCAGTACTAACATCAGTAAGCTCACGTATTCTGCGAACTGCGTATGCAGCGGAGCTTAATCTGCTGGCCAGGGAAGATATATGTGGAAACCATTGAAGTTTACTATCTAAGGTCACTCCCAAGAAGACTGCTTTATTAACAAGGTCTTGTGAAAGAGCTCGCCCAAGGTAGTACTAACTAAAACGCGGCCAAGTGAAAAATAGTTGTTTTGGGATGTCATAAAAAACCGTTACCCAGTTTTAGAATATTGAAATTGTTTAATCATATCTCAGCTATGCATCGTTAGGGTAAGTTCCGATAAGTCGATCACGTTAAAGAAAATTGTGCTCTATGCTTTGCTGTTTAAAACAGTTATTTGACCATTTGTCACTTAGCCGCGTTAGTGGACGGCATAGTGGCAGTGTCCCTAAAAGATCTTTGCAATTTGAACCTCTAAGTGGCATGTGTCACCAGACACACGACTTGCGCGCCGTTACTGGCACTCTTAACTATTAGCAGAATACCAAACGTACAAAGATGATGCATTTTGTACGCTACCTTATGTATACTAGTGAGCATAAAAGTAAAATGGTGTACACTGGTTCCTAACGTATTAATTACTCGCGCCTAAAATCTTACACAGATATTCACGTGGGCTCCGCATGGACCCCATTTTCAAAATCAAATTAAAACGTAGTTAATAGATTATCAGATTTTTTTATTATAGTACTTTAAAACTCAACATCTCAGACATAAACATTTGGTGGTAAAACAACTAAAACTTAGGTTGTAATGAGGTCAAACATTACAAATTTAGGAACTGTTTTTTAAGGCCATTTGTACATAGCATAATTAAATTATCCTTGCAGATGAATTTTATGCATTTCCCACACATTTACGATTTGCCTCTAGAAGTTGAAGAAGTCGACAGTGCAGATGCGCCAGTGGTCTCAATTCCCTCATCGCCTGTTTTATAGTGGTCAAGGCAAAGAAGTTATATGTGTTCCAGCAGCTCGGTGTGGTTATTTTTCAGCAACATGGTTGCTATCTAAAATAATGCTGCGTACGAAATCAAAACGATCCGTGAGCCGTTCGCGGTACGTTAGCCACAACGGTTCCGTTTTGGGCCTCGGATCCCATATTATTGTCATAACGGACCGATAACGTGAATGTAAAATGTGAATGGTGAAATAGGTTCTTTTACATGCCTAAACAAAAATGAACGAATGGCGGATTTCTTTAGTGTTGTGCCATAATCTATCGAAAATCTTACCTACATAGAAGTTACGTAAATGCTCGCGCTGGGTCCGTGCGGACCCCAAACGCACTGTACAAACATAACCACACACTACCAGGTCACGCCTGCGACGGTTTTATGGCGCGGCGAGTGTTTTAGTGAAGCTACTAAGAGCGTGTTTGGTGTATCGGCAAATTTCAAAGAAAAATACACGTCTAAATTTGCATCGGGGCCCAAATGGACGCCTCGCGAGTAATCAAGGGTTAACAGTGTGTGTGTGACGATGCGACGTTTCGTCGTCATCCCACCTTTATATCACTCTTGTCTCTGGGTCACTTTTGAAATGTTATTAAAATCAAGTAACCTTACTAATTACTGCTGTCCTAGAAGATGTAGTAAAAACACTTGTTTGGACGAAATGTGGCATTAACATCAATGGAGTCTTCCTGTCCCACTTACGGTTTGCAGACGACTTAGCACTCTTCACTGAAAATTTTAACGATCTCCAGCGTATGCTGCAACAACTATATGATGCTTCTATGTGGGTGGGCCTGAAGATGAATATGTCCAATACTAAGGTTATGGCGTACATCTCCAACGTCACAAATCTAAGTGTCACAGTTGGAAATTGTCGATCAATACATTTATCTCCGACATATTTTATCTTTTGGCAAGGAGCATCAAATGAAGGAGATCACCAGAAGAATTCAGCTTGGGTGACCGAAGACCCGTCTATACAATCAGTGTGTTCTGCCTACTATGACTTACGGTGCCGAGACATGGACGCTCACGAAGGAGGCTGTGTATAGGATGAGAGTTTCACAGAGAACCATGGAGCGTGTCTTGCTCGGTATCAAGCTTATAGACCGTGTACCCAATGTCTAGATTCGAAGTCGAATTAAGGTAACGGGCGTGGGGAACCGCATCATGAATCTATAGTGGAGCTGGGCAGGGCACCTGATACGGAGACAAGATGACTGGATACAGCGGCGAGATGGGCGGATGACATCGCAAGAATTGGGGGCGAACCTGCTAATCTCAGCACGGGATCGTGTGGAGTGGCACAGAAACTTGGAGGTCTATACCCAGCACTGGGTGAAGTCAGGTTGTATATAATGATGATGAGCCTAACTAATATTTGTAAAGAATATGGCCCTTTTGGGGTAAGTTCTTTTTACCGTTTGACCCATGTAAGTAATTTAAATAGAGTGTTTTGATATCGTTGTACCTGTTTCATGTCTACTGTTATTATTTATGTGGACCGAGTCGTCTATTTTATTACTCGCGGCAAGTGGGTTGAATTTAAACTAGTATGTAAAAATTAGAAATCTTGGCAAACGACTGCCATCCAATTACGCCTTCAACTATTCTATAACCCCGCTGTGCTATAAAGCGCCTAGAATTTCTACATTGCAATGTTACTGTTGTGAATCAATGATAACGACAAACTTTATTAGTAATAATTTTATGTGCATTATCATAGCGTGTCTAATTTGCAAGTTTGCAAGTTTGCCCCTGCCCTGACTCAGACCACCGCGGCATGTTAAATCGTGGAACCCCATTGTCAAGAATAATAATACTTAATTCAGTATTGGTTCGGGCTCTCAAGGGTGTTTTTTTTTAAATTTCACATATTTATTTACGGTTTTATTTTATACATTTATTTTACTGTATATTTTGTATGTATTAGTATAATATCTTTTACTTAATATTCTGTATTCGTGTGTACATTTGATATAATACATTTATTCTTGTAATTATTTAGAATGTACCATTAAATTTCATGATTTTATTTTTATTTATATTTTATTGCCGACTCAGGAGCCTACTTTTCTTTCAGTTACTCAAAGGTTAGCTGGAAGAAATCCCTTTATGGGATAAGTTCGCCTTTGTACAATAACGTTTTGTTTCTTTGCCAAAAAATTGTTTTGTTCTATAATAAAATGTTCACAGTTTTAAATTTTTAAATTTGTCGGTTAACAAATATGAGTATGTACGAATGTACATACTCACTCTCATACAAAATCGAGAATATCTACGCTCAATCTAACTAATGACACCAGGCGCTCACTACGAGGTTCATTTTTCCTTCTACATTAGTGAGACTGAGCGTAGGTGTTCTCGATTTTGTATGAGAGTAATGTATCTGTTATTAAGTAATCTGTGACAGAACTGAATTCTGAAATTCTCGATGGTACACCTGGATATCTGTAAGATTGGAATGAACAAATATCTACTAAGTGAACATGTATTGACGTATGTTAATAAAGTTAAAAGAAAATTAGTACGTGCAAGTTTAAACAATTTATTTTTTAAACAAAATTATAAACACAAACTTATTATGTGTGACAATTAAGTATACTTTGTGTTTTGTATTTTAATGTCATAACTATTACGACCAAAGATATATTACTTACAGAGGAGTAACATCGGCAAATTACTTTTCAATTTAACACTAATGGCGTTCGTGCTTTTCGACTTAACTACATATCAGACGAGAGCTTAAAGTTTTTTATACAAAAATAATGTTATAATATCTTCACAATTTTTATCATTCAAGTTTGCTCCAACGTTCGACGGAAGATGGCCGCGGAAAGCGCCAAAAAGTATACAGCCAGGAGGCAAGACTTACCTGCACTTGTGACGAGCTAATATTTATCCTCCCTTTTCGGAAAGTCATTCAGCGTTTTACGCATAACACAACCTGATGAGTATAGCAACATAAGTCTAGACGAGTACAAAGTGCGTAACATTTAACCCAAGAGAGCATATTAAAAGCAAATTGAATTCTACAGGTTCACTCTAAAACCTCGTCCACACCGACGTTAAGCAAAACGAGATTACTGATAACTTTATTAATGCTTACTTAAAAAACTCCTTTTGCAACGTTTTTATACGCCTATTTTGAATAATGGTTTGCATGTTTTAAAGATTTCGTAATACCCAAAAAGTTTATTCTATATTTTGGAATAGGCAAATTAGACTTAAAAATTTGTTATCAAATTCGAGCTGAATGTATCACCATCACATTGTAGTGGAACAAATTCGTTATTGACAGGTTTTATCTAACAAATTTACTGCCTCTTTTCTAAATAATAGATAATTAAATTAATTTACTTAATTTAAAATATATATTTCAACAGTATCTTTCATAAACATGACAACTTAACGTAGATGTGGGCGACGCGTAATTTCTAATACAATCTTAAGACAAAACCGTGATCAAGGGTTAGCGAGCATTGTCTTTTGGATCCAGGGCACGAAATGCGTGACGCGACTGTATACACCCGGGAAGCCAGGCTCGGCGCATTTCTTGCCAAAAGATACCACGCCGATTTGGAAGAAGTACGTCGAATGCGTTTCGCTGTTCCACTGCGGACAAACGAGATCAATGGATTACATTTATTAACCGACTTCAGATTGTTTATCAGGTTGCCTTTACTCATAACAAATAACAATGATTGCATTAAAACCCGGTTGTTTAAAACGCGCTGCCGACAAAATGATTGCAAGCGAGTTCCTCTTGGTCGTATTCTTTCCCAGTACATGATTTGTTCAGTGTTATCATTTTGTTGGTAGGTCAATGAGTGTTATTGACATATTTTATTAAGGCGTGAAGTATATGTGTGTTTATTTACATACCTGCTTCTAAATATAAAAAAGCTATTGAAGCCCAGGGGGCCTACCACAATCTCTTAAAACAATATTACTTTAATCTTACATAGACTTTTCGTACCATAACGCGCTTAAAGTAAGTTTATTGTAATGTTAAAACTATGATGTTTTATTGGCAGCTTTGTGACTATTCATTATTGTCTTAAATTGATTTGTAATAATTAAAAGTTAAGTTGAACTTATTCATTTGCATATATCTCTTCAATATTTTGTTTATTTTTTATTTAATAGTACATAGGAAATATTTTTTCGTTAAATAAAAGTACGTGATGTTTATTTCGTTTAATTACATATAACAGCGCCATCTATATGCTCCTTGGCGAAACTAACAGTTGACACTAGACTACAGTTCCGAACTCACAACGTGATCAATTGCTTGTTGTATTTATTTTTCTTCATGAAAATGCGGAATAATTATTGAATACAACATTGACTTGCAATTATAGGGACGTCGGGTCCGCGCTAAAAAGTGTCCGCACTTGTAAGGCGCTAAAATCGTATACAGAGCGCGACACTCCGCTTTAGTCTTCATTTGTTCTACTGACAGCGCGATACTGCGATGACATTACAATTTAAATTTCGAATAGGTTGACTTGGGACATTTTTTTCGTGGTTTTTGTATTAGACCCGTCGTCCATTTATTTGTAAGTCGAATACAACGTAATTTTAATAGATTTCATTATTACATACTTTTCTTTTTTGGCAGTTAAAATTCTCTGAATGTAAATAATTAAAGTGAAAAAAAATGTAAACAAAAAAAAGTTAAGGTAGGCCCTTGAGCTAATTTCTTTCTTGTTTACTTTTTACTTGTAACAACATACACGACAATTTTAATTTCAATTTCAATAGTGATATGTGGATAATGTTGTTGATTGTACACTTACTTATGTCACTTAATTCCACAATTAATGTAATCTTACCATGTACTATGTTTGTTATTATATTGTTATGTATGAACATATATTAAAAAAAAAAATAGGTAAATTGACCTTGTCTGATTAGGCGAAGTCAGACTGAAATACATGGATCAGTTTTGCTAATCAAGCTTTCCTAATTCATAAGTATCATGATTTCCGTCGAACGACGGTCACTGCCGGTTATAGGCCCCCAGAGCGCTAAAACGACCGTCTCGGTTACTCTATAGTTCGTATGCAATGAGTGCTAGGCAAAGTCAGCTTGAAGTTAAAAACAGACATTAATTTTATTGAATATAACGTTTTACCACCATGGTACAGAGTCCAGAGCAGGTCAAGCTTGACACTTAATACTTAAATCCAACTCTATGCCGCTTACGATAAGAACAGTCCAAAGTACAAAGTGTCAAGCTTGATGTGCTCTTGACTGTACCTAAATTATTTTCGGGAAGTTGCTCCACTAGCTTGTTAGTACAAAGATGGAACTCGAAGAAAAATGTATACTGCGCTTCGTATATGTAAAATTATATAAAATTCGGCTAAAAAGTCGTTGGAAAACAAATATAAAGACCCGACAACAAGCACATAGAAAGATTCGTGAGGTCTGCTGATTCGTTCCGTGTCTTAATTGGCATAGCGTCTGGCACGGTTTGCCAGGTAGGAGACGTCGGATCGAATCCGGCCGGTTCGAAGGAATTTTTTCTAAGTGTTCGCTGTTTGTATTAACAAACAAACTAGTGGAGTCATTTCTCAAAATATAATTGAATATCAATTCAATACAAATTTAATAAATTAGGTATTAAGAAATGGGATAACGTGCGACCTTGGCGGACCAGAAATCCATTAGAATTTACAATAATTACTTCAAATTTATAAGGCACAGATACACAATCTGTCGGCTTGATGAATATCGGAATTAGAGATAAAGAGCACGTCGCTTCACTGTAGTAAAGAAAAAACAGAGTCCATAAAGTATTGCATTTTTGTCTATGGTTGCTCGTCAGTTTTTATGGAACTTGGACGGAGTTTAAGAACGTATTACCAACGTTTAATGGCGACGGCGTTTGCATTGGTTTTATTTGTAACTTAAACAAAAAAGTACAACTGGAAAAATAAGCCTTATTATACGTACAATAGGCTGCATTAAGGGTCCGCCGCTGTCGCCCTGACAGGCGTCTTTTCCTCCTCGCTTGTACCCGGCACACAGGACGCGTTCGTCGATTTTCTGCGCCTTGTACGGCGCGTAGGCTTGCTTGCAGAAATCGTTGGACACTACTGGCAATTGCAGCACTTGGAGATGCGTGGCTGAAGCTCCTCCTGATAGTTTACAATATTTAATTTACGAAACAGTAATGTGGAAGCTTAGAATAATAACGCATAGAACACTGACTTACACAAATAGCATAGAATGATAGTTTCATATAGAATGATAGTTTCATATCAAACGAACTGTCACAAGTGAGGCAAAAATCAAATTCATGTAGGCTAGTTTTAGTAGTAGGTTAATTTTCGATTTTAGTGAATATTTATATAAAAATACAAGATGAAACGCGTTACTTCCTTGTGGAATGTGATGTTAGTATCTATTTTATGTTTGTCTGACGTATTTTTACACTCATTTACCGCACATTTCGTCATTTTTAGCTAAAATTCTTGAGCTGTTCGCGGTGCAAATTGACCTTGAGCACTGACGGCCCGCCCGCTCGTGTAGGCCCTTTTGGCGCGCTTCAATTTGGCTCACTTAGCGTGTGCGGATTAGGTTTCTATGCGTTATTATTATAAGTGTGGAAAGCGCTACACTTACAAAAGCAAACGTCTTAAAGAAGGATGGTGAAAGCTAACCCAAAATCAACAAAGTGCCGTTCATGGACTATGCTAGTATAATTAATTTTACTTTTTAGCTTATGCCTATTTACTAATATATTTTTAGAAGTTGGGAATGAAGAAAGGGCAAAACAATGTATTTTAGAATAGATGCAAGAACACAACGCAATTGGTTCAATTCGACCATAGATTAGGTAACGTTCATGTACATACGTTTCTTTTTAGGCACGATTTAATGTTTATCTACCTAATGTACTCGTTATTTTATAGTACAAAAAATAAAAGCTATAAAAATCTAATTAAATAATTAATTAAACAATAATGACATAAAGTAAAAAATAAAACACAATATGACGAAAATGTATCTAAGACAATATTTATATGAAAGATACGAAAGTCAGCAAAGGACCGTTTTGACAAGAGGCCTCTTTCCAATGTCAATGTCACTTTGAGATTGAGAACAGTGTGTCCATTTGTGGCAGATTTAATTTTTATTCATTGTCAATGCGACAGAACTTGTTAACGTTGTATTAAATGTGGCAGAATTTTGCAGATTTAGGAATATTCAGCAAGTTCTTTATTATTTTTAGGAACTGAAAACTTGTTTTTCTTGCTACTACGAACAAACATATGAAGCGAAATACAGGATAATGTTATAAGCATAACCTATATCAAATTTATAACTCCCAGCTTGTACAGGATACTCAGTTAGCTTGTTTGATGATTTGATAATGAATCACAAGTATTGGTAGGTCTCTTTAATGCACGTCATCAAAAACACTGGGTCACAAAATACACACAGTAAACCATTGACTTACAAATAAATGGACGACGGGTCTAATACAAAAACCACGAAAAAAATGTCCCAAGTCAACCTATTCGAAATTTAATTTGTAATGTCATCGCAGTATCGCGCTGTCTGTCGAACAAATGAAGACTAAATCGGAGTTTGGCGCTCTGTATACGATTTTAGCGCCTTACAAGTGCGGACACTTTTTAGCGCGGACCCGACGTCCATATAATTGTAAGTCAATGCAGAAAACCATGAGAATTTATTATAATTATTTAAAATTAATTAATTTTCATTATAATTTATTAGACAAGTACCATAACCTTATACAACGGAGAAATCAACTTGATATAATCTTCGTTACGTAATCTGTCGTCTTGATGAAATATCGAATTCGGAGGTAAGGAACATGACGGTTCACTATAGTAAAGAAAAAGAGTCCATGGAGTATTGCATTTGTTTGTCTATAGTTGGTTGTCAATAATTATGGAGCTTCAACGGCAAAAGTATAATAAATGGTTGGACCTGAGGTTTTGCCTTGACAATCGTGTTCTAGTGATAGAAATTAGAGTAAACGTAGGCAAGCAGACTCACTGAATTCAATAGATCCCCATCCAGCAATCAGAGGGTTGTAGTTCTCGAAGCTGTTTGTACGAAGTTCCGCTGGGTAAGGGATGCAAATTGGCCGGATCATGTCTGAAATGTTACATTCGGCCCTTTGAAAACGTCCGTAAAAATAAACTGCCCAATTTTTGCAAGGAAGAAACCAATGAAAAATACTTAATTAAAAAACCAAAAGAGTTGTTAATAGGAAAAAGTTACACCCTGCTTTAAGTGCAGTTAACACATACACACACACACACACACACACACACACACACTCATATATATATATATATATATATATATATATATATAGCAACAGCATAGCTTCAAAATATTGTAAAGAGCAAGTCCGTCTCTCTCTACCGCTAATTTGCAGTACGCTACCGGGTCCATAATGTGCTGTTAATTAGTTGTAAGACCTTTTCATTCTATGTAACATTAAGGGCAAATGCACTATATAATTGAGCTGAAACGAATTGAATGTTTGTTTAAAGTGTGCCCACTGACCGGTGAATGTGACTGCCATCTGTAGTACGAGCAAAGCGATGTCGTCGGTATAGGCAGAGCGATCGTATAGCTCATGCTTGATTTTTTTCTCAATTAGGATGTCAATTGGCGCCGCGCCGTCGTCCTCGCGCGCCGTGTCTAGTTCGCCGAGACGTACTACGTAACTGGAATGCATAATGTAAATAAATATCTTTCTACATGCGGCTTGAAGGACCAATGCCCTGACATTGGTCCTTCGAGCCGGATGTAAACCTAATGCGATGTGAAATAAAGGCTGGATTATATCAATGAAACCGATATGTTCCCCGTCTCAATTGGTATGGACCGGTTTGCTAGTCTATTGTAAGGTACTCCGTCAACGATGGCTATCGAATAATATCAGTGTCGCTGCGCCGCTGGCGCTCGTCGTGATTGTACTTCATGCCATGACGATGTCCGGTTAGCAACATAGTGTAAAAAAACTGGATAAGTAAGTTTTTTGACTAAGAAATCAATGTGATCGGATGCGAATGAACGCCCAGTAAAATGAAAGTGAATCAGGTGTGTTGGTATATGATTCGTAAATTAACTTTTTAAAAACGTTCATAACAAAACAATGTATTCCAAAAAGTCGACATAAAGTCACCAGTTTTACTTTAGCAGCAGTAGAGCCTTGTGAAAGAGTTTGTCCAGGGAAGTACTGCCACCTTGCCTATTTCTGCCGCCAAGTAGTAAATCATATGAGCAGTGTTCCAGTATGGAAGGGTAAGGCTGCTGGTGAAATTACAGGCACATGGAACTTGTCAAGTTATATCTCCTAAGATCTTTGTGATGTAAAGTGTGTTAGGCACGGAACTAAAACGGCAGAGTGATCGGTGTGGACGGCGAGTCGACTGAGACCGATGGCGGCAAACTACTGCAGATAACCCGGTGTAAATACGCCATGGGACAAGTCTCATGACAAACCGAAATGGAGTTAATGCTCAGATTACTGCTTGGCAATAGAATTAGGTATAGCAACAGTACTTCCTTTGATGAACTCTTTCTTAAGGAGCTCTACTGCTACTAAAAATTAATAACCAAAAAGATGTAAAGGCATTGAATAGTCCTTACCGTGGCCTATTTAAAGAATTACTTCATGCATAAAGGTATTAAGTAGGTTTATACGTTACATTAATATTTAGTCGCAATATTATCATATAATGATAGTAATTTGGAAACGAAGCGCCCAATTATGTAGTAATATCTAAATATAACATCGTGGCATCCGTTTTGAATATATTTTCCTATAGTTCTATTTTTACCTATACATATGAATGCCTCATTGATTGTAAGATACTATTTAAAGTCACTTCGAGTCTAAATAAAGAGAATATTTATGTCAAGAAGACTGATTACACACGGCTGGTTACAGACTGCATCGATACAAATGCGCGACTGCATCGATGCAATCCCATTTTAATCCCAAGTGTAGCGATGCAATCGCTTGTTTGTATCGATGCAGTCGCGCGCTTGCATCACGTTTGCGTCGCTGCTTAAGTCGCCGTGGCAAGTTGGCGACCGGGTAAATTAATTTGCAAGTACCCACAATAAGAAATGTTATAAAGATGATCATCTGGAAAATAGTTGCGAACAAAACCAAGCGAATTGTTATCACGAAGAAAAGCTCAACAAAAAAACATTTTTCAATAATTTTTATGAAAGTTCGACTCCTGCCGGAGCGAAGTGGATTTTTTCTAAGTGTTCGGTCTTTCTTTAATAATAACAAACTAGTGAAGTAATTTCACAGAAAAAATTGAACACCTTACTGGTGGAACTACCTGACATTCAATAAAATTTAATTATAATTATAATTATAGACGTGGCTCAACTAAACTGCCTCTGTTGCTGAACGGTTATTATGCCACGCAGAGTTCGATTCCCGGGCCGAGAGAAATATTTGTGTAGCCTACATTTATTTCTCTCGTGAGTTTGGGTGTAATTTGTGGTTGTCTACGTGTGTGTCCATGGCACCCGCGACACAGGATTTCCTAGTGCGGGGCTATGTTAAGTATGTTTTTTTTTTTTTTTTTTTTTATACATGACAGGCAAATGAAAGATTAAAAGATGTTCAAATTATTATTAATATTAAAACAATCATAATGCAACGTGTAACGTAATATACCATTGACGAAATTAATTTAATTAAATCGTAATAGGGTCGCCACAGGACTGGCTATGCCTAGCGTGGGATCAACTGCAACCATGCATAGTGCTCTCAGGCATGACATCACGTCTGCAATACATATATGTTAAAATACATTGTCAATTTAGCATAAGCTTATTTGTTAAGTAGTTGAAGACTTGAGTCGTCAGCACTTTCATAATTGCAGCATCAGATCTCCTCGTGAAAGGGTTCATCGAGGGTAATACTGCCACCTTGGCTATTTCTGCCGCCAAGCAGTAATGTCAGCGTGACTATGTTCCGGTTTTTTAAATTCAAAATTCAAATTCAAAATGATCTTTATTTCATAGGTAAGCATTATTACACTTGAAATCGTCACAATGGTTAAACTCTACCGCTCATTCGTAAGGCAGATTCCCCTGAGAAGAATGAGCAAGAAACTCTAGGGGTTGCTCTTTGTAAATAACATTTACATTTTTTTTTTTTATTTGAAACATCAGAGTTCGAGACTACCTCCATGAGCTAAACGAGTAGTAACCACGGATTTTTGTCATCCAAGTACGCAGAAGTTGTATAATAATCTTTAGTATAAAGTTTTTGTTTCACTATATTTTTAAGGCTCGTGAAAGGCAAATTTTGTACATTAACCGGAATCCTGTTATAGAAGCGTATACGTTGCCCCTTAAATGATTTTTTGACTTTGTGAAGACGACTATCAAGAAAAGCTAGTTTATTTCTATTCCTCGTATTAATGTTATGTCTGTCAATATTTTTCATAAAGAAATTACTATTCCTTTTAACATAAATTACATTTTCATAAATGTACTGTGAGGCTAGTGTAAGAATGTTAATTTCCTTAAACTTATCTCTCAAAGATACTTTGGGGCCCAGATTGTAAATTGCCCTAACTGCACGTTTCTGCAGGACAAAGAGTCTATTGATATCGGCGGCATTACCCCAAAGCAAAACGCCGTATGTCATTAGAGGTTTTGAAGGGTAAACGTGCTGGTCAAATTACAGGCACATGGAACTTGTCGACTTCGAGTGACGAGGACAGTAACAGTGTCCGATCTTTGCGATGACAAGCTTTGAGTGGCTCTGCAACTGTTATGGATCGGCGGGTCGCTTACCACCAGACGCACGACTTGTTTGCCCCGTCGCTTAGTGTTATAAAAAAATGTTGTCCTTCAACGAAAAGCTCGTTTTTAATTACGCACATGTGACCTAAAATAGAAATTAAAAGAAATCTTTTTAACCGACTTAAAAAAGGGGAGGTTCTATATATTTTTTTGTATGTGTGTTAGTTGATTACGACGAATGAATTTGTTAGCAGCCTAAGTGGGAGGACGGTGTTCCTAATATGGAGATCCTGCACCGTATATCCATAGAATAGAATAGAATAGAAATAGAACAGAAAACGTTTATTTGCCAGAATACAGTGATTATAAAGATCCAAAATAAAAACAGGTACAATATATTCAACCTGCAAGCAGACTCCGCGATGACTCCGGTATTTGTGAACCGATTTTAATGATTCTTTTTTGTTGGTAAGGGGGTACTTCCATAGTGGTCCCATTTCATTTTGAAGGAAATCATCCACCTTTAAGGGTGGCTTTTCACGCATGAAGATTCATTTTTATAAATAGTGCCTAAATTTTCTTAAGGAGCAATTATTTTAATGGTTGATTTTGCTATTTCTCCAATTCAAGGCGTTTTTCTCTTAATATTCTTTGAGTAGTGAGAACCGATTTTTATTATCTCCAGTGTCAAGTCCTGTATAGTGGCGAATTTAAGGATATTTCAATAAAACTTAGCAAATATACGTAATTCTACGTACTTTTGAGGTCGGTTTTTTTAGTACTCTGTACTGATGTTTGTTAAAGCAATTTAAACGTAGGTCCGGTAGTAATTTAAATTCATTTGGTAAAATATTGAAGATCTTTATGCACATATTGAAGCAGTTATTATTATAAATTAATTTATGGCAATGAGGTTGGTATAAAAGGTTCAAGATTTTAGCTCTGGTTTGCCTTTGTATCACTTCACCACGTGTTTTAAAATATTGAGGATGAGTGTTCACGATACGTAGATATCCCTTATATACAAGCGTAGCAAAAGCAGCATGTTTAGTTTTTTGAACAACGGTTTGCAGCTATCATCGAACCGCGTACCACAGATTGCTCAAATACACTTCTTCTGAACCTTGAACACTCTTTCTATATCTACTGAGTTGCCCCATAGTATAAGACCGTAGCTGAGTACGGACGAAACGTATCTGTGAGCTTCTCGAGATACAATTTGCCTTAGTCTTCGCAGAGCGTAAACAAATCTATTTAGTCTCATCATTGACTTACCAATAAGTGGACGACGGGTCTAATACAAAAACCACGAAAAAAATGTCCCAAGTCAACCTATTCGAAATTTAAATTGTAATGTCATCGCAGTATCGCGCTGTCAGTCGAACAAATGAAGACTAAAGCGGAGTTTGGCGCTCTGTATACGATTTTAGCGCTTTACAAGTGCGGACACTTTTTAGCGCGGACCCGACGTCCATATAATTGTAAGTCAATGAGTCTCATACAAATTTTTTCGATGTGTTCCTTCCAGTTAAGATGTTTATCGATTGTCAATCCAAGAAAGTTAAATGTGTTAACTTCATCTATAGTGTCGGTGTTGTACTGAATTTTAATTGGTATGGGATTAGAATTGTTATACGATCCAAATGTCATAAATTTAGTTTTGATTATATTAATACGTATGTCATTAATGTCCATCCAACTTATTACATCTGTTAGTGGCTTATTTGTGTCGGTGCTAAGCGTCGCTATGTGTTCGCATTTTATCATAAGAGTTGTATCGTCAGCAAATTATATAGGTACATTTATGGTCAATAGCATGTGGAAGGTCGTTAATATAAAGGAAGATTAGTAGACAGAGGACGCTACCTTGAGTAATTCCAGTATTAGTTGTAGACGCTACCTTGAGTAATTCCAGTATTAGTAGTTTTTAAGTGTGATCTGA